TGGGACAGGGCGGTGATCTGCACTGACCTAGGGGCCCGGTCCTTGTCCTTCCAAGCAAGACAACTGTCAGGCATCTACCTCTCCTGGCATCTAGCATCAGGCCCTGGACAAGCCCACAGTGCCCTCATCGCCAAATCACCGGAGTGGCCCTCCACGCCGCCTTCCCAGGTGCCCACTGACGGCTGTCGCTGAGCCGGCCTGGCGGGCGCAGGGAGGGAAGGCAGGTCCCTGCAGCTGCAGGGGAAGTGAGGCCTGGGCATCTTACCACCACAGGGACGCCGCCGTCAGGGGACCTCAGCACAGGGGCGTGGCTGCCTCGTGCCGTCCTCGTGTGGACGGTCACCTCCACTCTGAACCTCGCCCGACTGAGAGCTACTGATCCAAGCCCGTGGGCCCGTCTCCCCCCTCACATGCTGCCCCACAGCCAAGGCAGACGCCCCCCCTTTGTCCTCTGCGTGCCGTGCCATGTTGGGGTGGGGACCCGGCTGGCGTCCCTGCCACACAGGCACAGAGGTGGCCTTGCCGAGACGGCCGCGCCGGGCTGCCAGGGCTCACCACCAGCCCACTCCACGACACTGACCGCATCCCCAGCCTTGGCATCAAAGGGCCCTGGAGGGAGCCCACGGCTGCCGACCGGGGTCCCCCCACCTCACTGCACTGGCCTGGAGACACACTCTGCACATCTTCTCAGGGGACAAGGGATGGTCACAGCGACCCAACACTCTCGACACCAGAGCAGGAGGCGCTGCCCCTGGGCCCGGCCCTGCCCACCGTCTGTCCAGGGAACTGCGGCTGGACTGGGACCCAGCCTGTCTCTCGCTCCTGGTTGATGGCTGCATTGGTGCTGCCCGACCACACCAAGCACGGTGACAGAGACCACTGGGCCACAAGCCTGCAGGAGCGCCTGTCTGCCCTTTTGAGAAAAGTGCCGCCAGCCCTGTGGTCCACGGTGCGGCTGATGCAACGGGACTCTTCTCGGACTGGCTGTGCGGAGAGCGAGGGAGGCGTGAGGGGGACAGAAGTCACAGGCTAAGGGACACCAGCGTGGCCGCCCGGGCCGCTGCAGTCGGGCGCACGTGAGGTCAGAGGGAGGGAGGGGCGCCCGCTGTCTCACTGCTGGGAGAGGGTCAGTTTCCTGGTAACCGGAGGGTAATAAACTGGGGGTGTCGGGGCTGCTGCTGTGAACGGCCCTGCCTTCTCCCTCGCCTTCTCCTGGGCCCGGCGGGTGGCTCGGGCTGGGACCACAGGGTCCTTGTGCCCATGACAGATGTGCCGACAGAGTGTCCCAGTTCCGCCTGGCCACCCCGACAGGTGGTGGCGTCAGAGCGAGCTTCAGAGCACAGGTGACAAACACAAGGCCCGCGGGCCAAATCCGGCCTCCACCCGGTTTTATCTCGCGCAGACCTTTGTTTCTACCCGGTGGGAGCACCGAGCTCTCGCTTAACTACTAAGGAGAAGTCACATGTGCACAGTCCTGAAACCACATTCCGCCCTCTGAAGGCAACGTCTCCACGCCTCCGGCTGACCCGGCTCGTCACCAGCTTTCTCAGACTGGGCGAGCGGCTGCCGCCTCGCCTGGTCCACAGACGGGAGCGCTGCCCTGGTCAGCCTTGCTGCCCAGTCGGACATCACGCGGGGCCTGTCCCATCACAAAGCTGCGGCCACACCCACGCCAGCAGAACCACGCGCTCCCGAGTTCCCCGGCCAGCACAGTCCTCCCTGGGGGTCTGGGAGTGCGGGCGCAGCCTGGAGGCCGGAAGTCGCTGCCATCCTCGGGCACTTTGACTGGGGCAGGAAGTCGCGTGACCAGGTCAGGGAGCCTGACCCTCTCCGGAAACAAGGTGTGTTCCTCCAGCTCCACCCAAAGGGCGCGATGTCCTCCTCAGGACAATTGTCACACATCTGAGGGCTCTGTCCCCGCGGGGAGAGACCCTGTGACACCCAGCACATGCTCTCAGCACCGCACACACCACAGGCCTCGCCTGCCCACGGCCGCTGGCCTCTCTCCTGCACTGGAGTCTGCAAGGGGCCAGCTGGGGCAGGCAGTGCGCACTGGCCAAGACCCCGGGCCCCCGACACCCAGGAACAGAGCACCGGGGACTCAACAGCCGGGAAGCAGGCAGGCAGACGTGGCGAGGCACCTGCACGGGAGCCTGTGACACCCGCCACCCACCGACTCCGGGCCTGGACCCCCTTCCCTGAGTCACCTGCAGGCGTCCAAGGAGCCGCCATCAGGGCTCTGTGGGGCGTCCCCATGATGGAGCAGTGTGCAGTCAGCTTTCGTCACGTGTGCCCCCACAAGGACCCAAACGGAGGGCACCCCGCACCCCGTACCAGCCTGATTCTAGGGGCATCGAAGGCAGAGTTGGGTTTGCCTCGTAGACAAAACCCGACGGCAGCCTCTCTGAGCTGAGAGATACTGGAGTAACGCTTTTCTTCTGCAAGGCCCCACTCCCTGAGCAAAGCCCAGCTCCAGCCAGCCGGCCCTCTGGGGGTCTGCCCACGTTGGCTCTGCAGCGGGCAAGAGGAGAAAGCTGGCTTTAGGGGTGCAGGGGTGCCAGGTCTCCCTTTGCAAAGACGAGCCAACAGGCATCCCAGTTTCCAACTACGCTTGTGCTCCTTTGTGATGCTGGAAACACAGGGCGCTGGACTTGGGTGGGTACCCCCCGTGCAGTGCCCATCGGGGAGCCCAGCAGATGTAAGTTTTCTGTCCAGACATCAGTTCCAGGGAGGGGTGCATGTGCCGGGGCCCTGGGTGCCGAGGTATCTCTGCAGCCTGGGAGGAAACAGGGCCCGAATGTGGGAGCCGTGGGAGCCCAGGGCCTGAACACCCTGGAGCGAGAGGGCAGCCTCTCTGCCCCACCACCCAGGAAGTCCTGCGGCGGCCAGAGCGAGGCTCGCTGCCGCCGCGTCCCAGCCCCGGCGAGCAGGTGCGGGAGAACCAAGCCAAAGGCACTGGAGAGCCCGGCTCTCTGAGACCCCACGGTGTGGGGTCAGTCTCGGCACCTGGCCCCGAGGACAGGCACTGAGGGCAGTGGAGCCCAGACCTCACCTGGGGAGGCCACCAAGGTGCCTGAGGGGCCACCTGCTCCCTCCCAGGCTGCACTGCCCAATGGCAGAAAGGCTGACTGGGCCAAGGTTTCGCAGGTTACCCGGAAATGCAGGGGCTGGGCGGGGGGGCTGGGAGCTACTGTTTGAGGAGGGCTGGCAGCACCCAGGGGCTCCAGCTCAGAGGGGGAGGGGCCCACAAGGCACAGCAGGCTCCCAGCTGCCTCTCCCACCCACCCTGGTGCCCAAGGACACCACTGGGCCTGCCCCACCCAAACACCAATGGGACATGAGAAAATTAAAAGGGGCAACACGAGTTCGTGTCAGTGAGAACGAGCTTAGGGAGACTCCGGGTTTTGATCTTTTCTGATGCACTGAGTTCTGGCAGGAAGTAGGGTCCTACGTAGATATTTGAAAGAACTGAAAACAGACTTAAAAAATCCCCAAACGACAATAAAAAAAAAAAACCCGACCCTAATCACAAGCTTAAAATAACAATTTTAAAAAAAAGTTCAATTCCGCTCCCCCAGAAGGAAAGGGGGAAAATTGGACTAACATAAAACCCTTTTCTGCTTCTTTTAAATATTGTTTTGAACAGCCTCAAAAGTAACGAATTGTGTGCAGCTAAGAATAGAACAGGGCGCTGGGTGGCAGGGCTGTCAATATTTTTCAGGCTGTCAGAGATCCATTTAGTGATTTTTGACAATTCAAAAAATATCTTTGCGGCTTGATCCGGTTCCCGATGAATTAGGGAAGGACAGGGAAAAAGAAATGTATCAATTTAAGTCGTGAACCCAGTCCAGCTTCCCGAATCCCACTGTGCACAAGAACGTCAACACTTGGAGGTTAAAAAATACTCCCGCTCCCTCCCTCCTTCTCCTCCTTCCCTCCCTCCCTCCCTCCCTCCCTCCCTCCTCCTTTCCTCCTCCTTCTCTCTCTCTCTCTGTCTCTCCCTCCTTCCCCCCCTCCATTCCTTCCTTCCTTTGTTCAACAAGCAAAGCCAGTCACAGAAATCCATGCACAGGTCAAAGGAGAAAGGGACCGCTGGCCTCTGGCAAGAGTATCTGGGGCTGAGCGTCTGTGCAGAAAGAAGCTTCCAGAAGACCATCTGAGTGCCAGGAGACGGACTCTGACGCTCCCCACCCCCACCTTACATTCATCTGACCCAACTCCAGGCCTCACCGGGTGGCTGTCACTTTCTGAGACTGGGAGCCACTCGGGGTAAGACCACCCTTCAAGCAGAGAAAGACGTGCTCACCCGAGCAGGCAGGCGGGGGCCCGAGACACACAGGGTCACGACCCGGCAACCAGGGGCTGCGAGGTCAGAGGGACAGACCCACAGACGGGAAGAGACGGGCGGACAGGAGGCAGCAGGAAGACAGAAGGCCAAAGCCACAGTTGCTGCCGCTGGTGTGTCTAGGGATGACCCCAAGCACCCCGCCCGTGCTGCCCCGTCTGGGAGAGGGGCCCCACCTCCAGCGCAGGGTGGGCCACAGGGCTACAGCGAGCGGTCCCCGAGTCAACAGGAGAAGGACGCAGGACAGCAGACCCGGCTCAGCAAAGCAGTCAGCAATGTCGTTAGGCACCTCTGGGTAAGTTAAAAGTACTGAAGAGTTTGTAAGTTACCCTGTCTGTTTTTCCTTTAGTATTTTTACGTATCTTTCCCCTTCGGGATGCAGATTAGCCACGGGAGCCCACGGCAAGACGCCACCCTGTTCCACGCTGGCATGGGCCTTCCAGCCATTCACTGGAACTTGAGGGCGAGAGCCTCACCCTCTCGGTGAACCCACTCCCGCGGCCATCTGCACCGGTACACCAAGCACCGCTGGGGCCCTGACCTGCTCAGTTCAAAATCTGCTCACCAGTAAGTCTGCCCGTTTTTTTTTTTTTTTTTTAAACGCACTCTTGGCACCGAGGTACAGGGAAATGAGGAAGAGGAGGCTGCAACTTACCGCACAGGTCGGGCCTCTTGACGCCCCCGGGGCTGGCGGAGCTGCTGGCGAGTCCGTTGAAGGCGGCCAGTCCGTCGGCGCTGTAGGCCCGCAGCACGGACAGCACGCTCGCCGGCTTCTCCAGGGCCCCCCGCTCCGGCCTGGGCAGGCCCACCGCGGGGTCCTGGGCTGGCAGGAGGCCCGGGCTGTGCCACGGCTTCTCCGACGCCGGGGGCAGGGCCGGCACTGGTCCCTGCACGGGCTGTGGGGCGCCCGCGGGCAGCAGGCCTTCCCCTCCATCGCCGCCGCTGTCCTTGCCGAGGGCGGAGGGCGGCTTCCTCGCCATTTCCGGCTCCGTCTCCGTCTCCTCGCCATCGTCATCGTTCTCCCCCTTGGGGGAGTCCGCATCCTCCGAGGAGGCCGCGTCGGAGAGGTCGTCCCCGGCAGCCTTGTCTGTGGTGTCGGGGATCAGGATCGGGGCGTCATCTTCCACGTGGGCCTTGCTGTCCGGCCCCTTGTTGGGACAGGTGCCGGGGGCTGCTGAGCCCGTCGCACCCGGGTACACACCGAACTGCTTGTAGAAGTCAGAGGGGAAGCCGCAGAAGGTGGGGTCCACGTGGCCGGGCCACGAGCTGGGCTTCTGCTCCCCCGGAGCCTCTCGGACCGGTCCCTGCGCCACCTTCTCCGATGCGGCGTCCAGGGGCCCCATTAAGCTGGCCAGTGCCGCCTCCTTGCTTGCCTGCGCCGAGGGCAGCAGGGCCGCCCTGCCGGCCTCCCGCAGGTGCTCCGTGCAGTGGGAGGCCGCCCCCACCGCGTGGTCTCTGCGCTTCGCCTTGCCCAGGTGGTTGGCCTGCAGGTGCAGGGCCATGAGCTCCATGGAGGACGTCGTGAAGGTGCAGAACAGGCAGCCATGCCACGCGACGCTGTCCTGCACGGTCACCTGGGAGCCGGGGAGGGCGGCGGCGTCCGGCCGCACGGACAGGTCCAGGGGCTCGTACTGAGACTTCTCCGACTTCCGCGGGGCTGGCTTCCGGCCGCCTTTGTCCTCGCCGCCGTCCGCCCCGTGGGCTTTTGCGGAGGACAGGCCGGACGGGCCCTTGTCCTTCTTCAGGGAGCTGAGGACAAAGCTGTCCATGAAGGCCTGCAAGGACCCCTGGAAGTTCACGCCGTTGCTCAGGACGCTTGCGCAGGCTCTTCCCGCTTCGGAGAAGTGGCTGCTTTTGGGAGGGAGGTCGGCGCCCTTCAGAGCGTCTGCAGGGGCCTCCAAAGACACGCCGGCGGCCTGGGGGTCCCCGGACGGGAGCACGCCCGCCACCCAGGGCTGCGAGGTCGGCGCCCCCCTGAAGTCCACTCCGGGGAGGCCCTTGAAGGCGCCCCTCAGGATGTCGGGCCTGACGAACAGGGAGGCTTTGCTGGGCAGCTCGTCCCTGTGGTCCTGGCTGGGCAGCGGCCCCGCTCCGTTCGGCCGCTCCCGGTGGTGGCGCTCCAGGTGGTACTTCAAGGAGGCAGACTGGGTGCCAGCGTAGTCGCAGTGCGGGCACTTGTAGGGCTTCTCACCTGCGGGGTTTGGGGAAGGGAGAGAACAGACAGCGCTTATCTATCTCACTTGGGTGTGCGGAGCGAGGCGGGGGAGGGGCCGCGTTTGTTCTTGGAAAGAAAGCAGCTCCAACTAATAATTAGCCAGAGAACAACTGCTCTTTAATAGAAGAATAATTCGTACTCTTAAGCCTTTTTAATGATTTCGTACCATTTGGGACTATTCAGGAATGACATACTATCTACACACAATTAGCTATCTCTTTCTTTATCTAACATGTGAAAACGACTATAGGTTTTAAAAGCTATGATTATGAAAATTAAGCATAATAATTTCAACCGCAGCGATCATTAAAAGTAGAAGTTTAAAAAGACGAAGTATGTAACAAATGGCTGGTCGCAATATTCTGTGTATACAATAGCCCCCAAATTTGTTTAAATTATACACATGGAAACCATTTTTAAACCTAAAAATTTTATGGCCTTGTTACGCAAGACTGCAATGAATGATTTAAGCCTTGCTCTGCGGTAAATCATGGATATAATTAGCAAATGGCACACGGCACGAGCAATTTATCATTATTTGGAGGGTACCATTCCAGACGGGCTCAGATGTCTGCAGACCCGCTGCAGTGTCTCCAAATACGGAGCTATAAATACCGATTCTATAAAATATTAACGCCATTACGGTGCATTATGATTGCAGCATGTAAGGACATATAGTTAAGATAAAAGGCAGTCAATAAAACTTAAAAGAAAATGAGTAATAAAAAGGCACAAAAGTATATTTAGTTTCTGTATTTGAAATTAACATTATCTACTGGTCTTTGTATCGCCTTAAATTTGTCCTAATGGCAAAGCTAACGCTCCGGCAGTAAAATGCGTAATTTACCTGTAATAAGCGCTTTCTAGAGAATAAAAATAGCTTTAAGGAGTGTTTTAAAACATATAAGATCATCTTCATGAATTAAATATTTATTTAAATTCGACACCCACTCCTGTTGTTCTTCCCTGCGCTGAACAGACTCCAGCACACACGGCGTGGCCTGCGGCGGGCGGGGCAGAGGATTTAGAGCCACCCCAGGAACCAGTCCGCAACCCGGGTCGGCCCCAGGCGTTGGGACGGACAAGCTCTCCCGGGGAAAGGAGGCATGAGGGTCCCCGTCAGCGGCCCACAGGGCACTGGCAATGCCTGCAGTGAGTTCTCTGAGGAAGCTCCGTGTGTCTGCCCTGCCCTCGTCCCCTGCAAACCAGACCAGGTCACATCTTCCTGCAGCTGGGCACAGCCGATGCCGGGGCTCCCATGCCCCAGGCGTGGGCATGTTGGGGGGACACCATTGACGAGGGAGGACGTGGTGACCAGGGGGACCGGCAGGCAGCCTGGGGCTGAGCGGCACGGCATGCCACTCCGGCTGAGCACCTGTCTCCCCGTGTGGTGCTGTGACCCCTCGTCCAGCGGCGGGCTCCTGGGCAGCGCGGAGATGGCCTGTGGGCCTGGGGAGGCCTCTGCGGGGGCAGGGCCAGTGCCCTGGCTGGACCGCTGCCGTGGGCCTAGAGGAGGGTGCCGTCCCAGGGTGCGCAGGTCCGTGGCCTCAGGCCCCGTGGGAGGCCCACGTCCACGTCACCACTGCTGTCTGGGCACCTCGCCAGAGACTAGGACACGCTCCGTGGGACAGGTGCTGTAGATGGGCACTCGGGGCGGCCTGGAGCCGGTGGCCCGTTGGAGCACAGGCGGCCCCTGAGGCCGAGGAAGCGGTGGCAGGCCAGGGGACCGGAGAGCCAGACGAGGGACTTGGGGTTTGTCCACGGGAACTGGGAGGCTGCGGTGAGGCCTGCAGGTATGCAGGTACCGGGAGAGACGCAGGCTGCGTTCCAGAGACACAACTGCGCTGATGAAGTGCGTCTGAGCCACCAGTCACCTCGGGGTGTGCAGACGGCACCCAGGCCCTCGCTGGGGGGGTTGTGGGGGGGGGCGCGGACGGAGCCCTCAGGACTGGGTGGGGCACCCAGGGCGGGACAGGCAGGTTTCCAAGGGACACGCATCTGAAATGCACACGGAGCTGCGGTTCTCGAACCAGCTGTGCACGGCTGTGCGTTAGGACTGCGGGTGTGTGTGAGGTCCCGCCCTGACGCCCTGGTTCTGGGGCGAGGGACACAGTGGGCATTCCACCAGCGTCCCTGGCAACTCGGAGGCAGATGAGAAACAGCACACTTTGAAACACCGAAGTGGGGTTGCTTGAGAAGTTTTAAAAACAGCCGACACTAATCCCACGTCCACCTCCAGAGACTCTGCTCTCTGGCCCGGCATGCAGACGGGCACCAGGGTCCCCCCGCCCCCACGAAGCCTCCATGCACCTGAGGGGTCCATGCACCTGAGGGGAGAAGCGCCTGCAGAGCTCTCGGGGAAGGGCCTTCGGGGGCAGACTGCAGGCAGCCGGGAGGGGCGGGGCCCCTGACATCTGCACCCCGGAGGCACTGGCACCTCCTCCGGGGACCGGGCGCCTGGCGCCCATGCGGGGCCCTCTGCCTCCTCCCCGGCCACTTGGCAGTGGGAGCTCATGTTCTGGGAGGTCTCAGGCCAGCTCCAAACCCAGAGACGCCTGTGCACACTCGAGTGCACACACATCACACACACGTACACGCATGCACACCAGCATCTGAGTGCCCAGGGGTCCAGGCCCCGCTCTGGGTTCACGGGTTAAGCGGCAGCAGGTAGACCTGAGGGCTCCAGAGAGCCCGCTGCCCCCTGGGCCTCCCACGGGCCCTGCAGGCCCCGCCCCCGGCGCTGTCCCGAGGGCAGGGAAGCAGGCCGGCCGCCCCCAGCACCCCGCTCCCCAGATCAGTGCTCTGGGAGCCGACCTCCCCTTTCAGGTGTATGCTCAGAAAAACTAGCAAAAACCCCGACCTCGTTTTCTTCATGATCCCTCAGGATTTGAACCACCACCCAGCCAGGAAGCCCCCCGACTTTTCCTGGCTTCACCTCTGAGGGTCCCAGGAAGCCTTGGCCTGGGGGGGGCACGCCCCCAGCAGAATGTCTGGGTGGCCCAAGGGTCTCCTTTCCACTGGACGCACCGGACTTTCTGCCCCGAGAGCGCACGCCAGCGTGGGGTGGGGGTGGGACCGGCGGGCGCGCCCAGCCGTGGTCCAGGCTGCTCTTCCGATTGGTGGACACACACTCCCCGGCCCACCTGTGCTGAGAGCCGCGCCGGCCAGCGTCACCCATCGGGCCACTGGCTTTGGCCCAACGCCCAGGCTTCCGCTCAGCCTCAAGCCCGTGGGCCACCCCGTCCCCACCCAGCAGCCTGGTGGCACCGGCGACCCCAGGCCCTGGCAGCAGCTCTGTCTACTTGAGGGATTGGCCGGCGAGGCCATAAATGAGGCCAGACCTAGGGGGCCCACCCGCACTGCCCCGAGCTTTCCGGGGGATCATCCCACCATGTTTGGGATGCTGTCCCTGCCTGGGTCTCTTGTAGGGGCCTCACACTCAGGGGCCTTCAGAGCCCGCAGGAAACGGCAGGCCAGGGACCCACGGCCCCTTCCACAGAGCAGCCGCCACTCAGGCCCGGCCAGCAGTTGGCATGGGGACCACGGATGTGCCGGCAAGGGCCACACTCTACATGTCTTCGTGCAGCTCCTGCTCTGAAATACCGGCACCACCGAAACACCTTCCCAGATGCCAGGGGACCGCAGGCCCCATTCCCCAGCCTGGGCCTGGGCCTGGACCCGGCGGCCCTGCCAGCCTGCGTCCGGGGAAGGACAGCCAGCGCATGCGTGGCCAGACCTCTCCCAGCCTTTGCAGGGAGGGGCTGGTGGGCTGCAACGCTGCCGTACTGGAAGAGAGCTCTTGCTGGAGAGGACAGGCGGAGCGGTTCAGTTAAAGCAGCTTCTGAGGACACAGCAGCACGGGGCCACACCCGTTCACGGCACCTGCAGTCACCTGTCAGGGGTCCCGGCGCTGAGCCCCCCCTGGACATGCGCTCAGACAAAGGAACCCTCAGGTTCGGGGGTCCCTGTGGCACCACTGACATCGAGTCCCGAAAACCACCAACGGGTCGGCAGCCGTCTCTTCGGACCCGTGTCTCAAGCTTCCTGAGGTCTCGGGCTCCTGACGCGCTGTTCTGTTTCCTGGTGTGTTTCGCTGACTCTCCGGAAGTGTTTTCCACTCCACGTCACGCCGCCGCACGCGTGCCTGTGTGCGGCATCCGTCTGAGAGTCATTCCGTCTTCCTCCCTGTCCCCACTCGGTCGACACCGGGAGAGATAAATACGGTGAGGCCTGCGCAGCGGCAGCGCCAGTACATAAATATAAATCGCACGCTAATTCCCCCAAAGCATATATACGTTATAAACCTGAGCACTCCTCACCCAGCTGCGTGCTGCTAAACAGGGCCTTGTCCAGAAGGGGGACAATCTGTGTCTCTAATTGCTGTCACGGAAGCCGAGATTCATTATGTGACTTTCCCATTAAAATGTGAGCATTAATTTGTATAATGAAATATTGGCCACTGCAGTGTTCATTAGCCATGCCCCACTGTATACCGTACATTGTTAGCTACCTAGAAACTGTAGTTAATTTCACTAATGGATATTTCCCTACTTAGTGTTTGGTCGGAAATTTATACTGTAACGTTACCTCTTCAACTTTTAAGGAAATTTAAATTCGATCAATTATTTTCCACAAAAGTTTGGGATGTCATTAAGGCAGCGAGAGAGGGACGGGGGACCGTGGAGGAAGAGAAGGGGATTTTAGTTCATCACAGGGATGTAGACGCGACAGAATTTTTAATTCAAAACGGAAAGGAAAAGCCGCATCGTCTCCTTTTCGGGCAAGCGGCTGTTTTCTTCCTTTTTTCGTAGCCGCCCGGGGGCCGGACCTCACGAAGCCGGCACACTTTCGGAAGAGGAGATGGCGACCGTTCGTGCGGGGACCGACCCGGGCTGGAAGACCGAGTCACTGCGCACTCACACAGGAGAGGGCGGCCCGGCTCCCTCCCTCCCCTGGGAGAGGAACTGCCAAGGTGAGGCCAGCGCCCAGGTGGGGCCGGCACACCTGCCTTTCCATCCGCTTCTGCCCCAGTGGGGCGCAGAGGGGCTCCTGGGGAGGACAGGGGCGTGCGGGTAACGCCTGCCACCCCACGGGCTTCGTTCCCATGGGGGTCCCTGCCTCGGCCTCCCCCCAACCACCCGGTGCTGGTGAGGAAACTGGCCGAGGAGGAGGCCGGGGCAGCCACACACCTGTGGCCCCAAGTCACTTCCTTTCCCCCTGCTGGGTACCGGGAGGGGGGGGCCAGCTGTGGGAAGACTGGCCTGTCGCCCCCAAAAAGAAGCCGAGGGTCCACCCAGGAAAGAAAAAGCAACAATGTGAGAGTTAAAGGAACTCGAGACCCAATTTGGCAAACCTGGATGGGGACCCTCCGTCACGGCTGGGACACACCCTGGGGGCTTGCCCTCCCCTGCACCTGGCAGGTGGCAGCTGGTCGCGGGTGCTGCGAGTCCAAGGAGGGCACTCACGGCCGGTGCGCACCGCGCATGGTGCGGGAGGGGCTGGGGCTCACGGGGTTGGCAGGGCTCTGGCTGGGAGGTCCGGTCTCTTCCTCCCCTGACCCACAGTCCCTGGGGAGCCGGGGCCACCACCGTGGCAGACCTCCACTCCTGCCACAGCCCCGTGGTGGACGCCCAGTAGATGGCCCCCTCATCCTGGCCGCTGTGGACCCCCCACACCCACCACCACGACCCAGGGGCCCCAGCCCCCACCGGGGCAGCAACATGCCCCTGGGCCTGATCGGAGAAAGCCGGTGTCGGGGCTGCGTCACCCTGAGGAGGGGACACTGCGCCTGCCCTGAGGAGGAGGGAGCGGCCCAGGTCCCTTCACTCGGCCCTGGGGGCAGAAGGCGGGTGTCACCTGGTCCTAGCAGGGTCTGCCATCTGTGCCCCAAGTCGGCCCCGCAACCTGGCTGCCAGGTGACGCTCCCATGGTGCCTTTCAACGCGACGGCGGGGTCCCCGGGAAGGGCTAGAGGTGGAGGGCGGCTCACATGTCCTCACTGGTGACGAGTGTCCCCTCCTTCAACCTCCCACACATGAGCCCCGTACATCCACCGCGTGGAAGGGGAAGGCCCCGGGCACGGAGAAATCACAACTGTGGAGACCAACGTCATCACCGCCTCGCATCCCACGGACACCCTGACGGGAGGCGCTGATTTCAGAGAGGGCGACGTCCGCAGAGAGATGCAGCAGGGGGTGAGGGGCCTGCAGAGGGGGGTCAGGCCCCGTCTCTCTGAGGAGACGGCACTGCCCACGGGGGGCGGGGGTTTCCGGGCGGAGTGAGCAGTGGGCATGAACGTCCAGCCCCTGCACAGGAGGGTGGGGGACAGCCGAGGGCAGCGAGCCCTGGTGACCGCTGGGCTGGGCCCCACAGGCCAGGCGAGGTTCTGGCAGATCCCGCATGGCCCCAGGAGAGAGGGGACAGGCTCCAGGACAGGACGGCCAGTACCCGCACCCCCTGCTCCCTGGTGCTGAGGACGGAGGAGGCAGCCCCGCCCAGGGCTCCTCTCCAGGTCGGGGAGGTTCGGGGCAGCCAATTAGGGTGCAGACAGGGGGTGTCTCGGACGTCACCACGGGCTGCGGTGCACGAGGCCCGCAGCCGTGAGCACCCTTGCAGCCCCGAGCCGTATCGATTCCCTGGGAGGTAGGCCGCAATTATTTCTGAAAGCGGTCGGCATGTTTGTCCGGCCTCTGAAGCGGCTCACGCTCCGACGGACAGCGTGTCGGGAGCAGAAACCAAAGACAGCGGAGGCGTCTGTGTGTCGGACAGTTACCCCTTTTCTCTCGGGGACGTCTGAACGACGAGCAGAACAAGCCGCAGCCGAGGGACCAGGCAGTCACACAGGGGAGCGCTCGCCGCCAGGGCCGGGAGGACACGGGAGCCGGGCCGGCGGCCACAGCCCCTCGTTTGGTGGAGATTGTGTCAATTTCTGTTTTGAGGAGACCGGGGGACCAGCCGCCCTCCCGCCCGCCCTCCCGTGACCTCCACCTGGCCCATCCCAGGGTCAGCCTGGAGCCCTGGCTGGGTGATGTCCCCGGTCACAGGTCAGCTGGGCCGCCATCACTCTACACCTGGAAGACTGGTTACACCGGGTGTGGACGCGCCCCCTGGATGCAGCAGATGGGGGCCATCCGCCAAGGGTCCTGGAACCTCGGGCCACCCCGGCCTGGACCCCACACCTGCGTGTCTCTCAGGAGGCGAAGGACCAACGCAGGGTCTTGGGGTCCAGGCTGGACGCACACGGGCCCGGAGACCGTGAGTGCGAGTGGGACGGGCGGGCGCCCCCTGGGAGCCGAGCCCCCGCACGCGCGCCGGCCGCTCACCTGTGTGTATCCTCAGGTGCACCTTTAGGTGGTGGGAGGTGCGGAAGGTCTTCCCACAGTACGGGCAGTCCTTCACGGCCGAGCCCAGGCTCCGGTCCCGAGGCAGCGCGGGCTGCTGGGCGCCCACCGGTCTCCCCGCCTCCTCGCCGACGTCTGCAGCGGGGGAAATGTTCGCACGTCACTTCAGCACATGTCACGCGTTGTTCGCACCCGCACTGCGAACGCCACACAGAGCTAAACATGTCAATACCACACCTGCCTACTTCATTCTCTAAATCTGACAGAATGCTGACAATTCATGTATTTTCTTGTTATTCTCTAAAATTATTTCATCTCTCCCCTCGTCGTTCTGAGCGGCATATGGTACCTTTATATCGAACTGAATTAAACAAGAGAAGAAACAGCTGTATCAGCAGCTGGTTTGCTTTCTTCTTTTGCTTAGCTCCTATTAAATCCATTTTTTCCAAAAGTTTCCAAGGTGGCGTCTGAGTAATTCGCGCCATGGCCTCGCTGCGGAGCGCGCCACGGAGTGAAATCTCATTCGCGTGGTATCAAGCGACGAGCAGAAAAGAAAGCATCTCTGCCGAGTCCCCAAGACGTGCAGACTCGGAGCTATTTTGGGACAGGAGAGAAAATTATCCCCGACGCGTCCTCGAGTCCTCAGCGTCTTGCGCCGCTCGCTGTGCGCCGTGCTCTCGGGGAAGGGAGAGGAGCCGTCTGGAGACGCGGTCCCGCAATTAGCCCGCGATAAACACAGAGACACAGCCAGCCTCGTGGAGAAGCTCAGCTGCAGACAGCCGTGTGCTTGGGGCGCGGAGACCGGAGGGCTCCGTCTGGAAGCCTCAATGCAAATGGCCTGCCGTTACTGCCTGTGTAGTCCATTAGAAAGCGGAGTGAAATTTCCACGCAGCTGCCTTCCACACAGAAATGACGGGGCGTGGCGGTAAATAAAACTGTGGAAACATCAAGTGCTCTGAGGACACGTCACTGCAACACCGGTGGCCAGCCAGGCAGTGGTGGCCATGTGTGGGGTGGACAGACGGGGCGGGGGGGGCTACAGCTGATGGCCTGCACCGACCCCAGGTCCCCAGCGACCTGGCTCCCTGCAGCCTCGGCCGCACCTGGGGCTTCGCGGTAGCTCTGCAGTGAGAAGAAGGGGACCTTCAGGGCTAATGACGGACCTGTGGCTGCTGCAGACAGAACAAATGTGATCTGCACCTTGCAAGCAATGGAGGATGCAAAATGCTTCTTTCTGCGAGACCCGTGCTGGTGTTCGCTGCTTGGAGCCGAAGAGGCCGGGCGCAGAGACCAGACGCAGGACCAGGGCAAGCAGGCTTCACTGTCCTTAGGACGTGAGCTCAGGCGCATGGGGATGCTGGGCTCCAAGGCCCCACCCTCATTTGGAGTGTGCCCACTGCCACCCTGGGGGAGCTATCCAGGGCTCGCCACTAGGTCCCCATCTCCCCGCCCCTCTAACTGCCCCGAGGGAGCAGTGCCGAGGGTCTAACTGCCCGAGCGCTTTTCCACGCAACTGCACAGCACGTGGAACTCTCCCTGCCGAGCGCCAGGTCTGTGGTCCTCCGTGAGGTGCGAAGGCTACCGGCAACGGTCACTGATGGCAGTAAGCAGGCCCGAGGGAGTGAGTGCCTCGGCGAACACGCGCCCACGCGTGCTCACAGCGGGGCACCGCACCCCCCACCCCCATCCCAGGCCGAGGTCTCTAGGGGCTGCATCCGCCTCTGCCCTATTGAGCCAGTTCCCCAAAAGGCCGGGGACGCTGACCAGATGCCAAACTGAGTCACCCACCGGCTGGGTTTAAACAGCTGCAGCGTCCCTCCACCCGGCCGTCCTGCTGCCAGAGCGCTGGACCCAGAGCGCCAGCCCCGGCCTCCCCAAGGCACCCAGCTCCCGAGGCTGGACCCTGAGGTCAGCCTGACACACCCAGGACCCCGGGGGAGCCCTGCAGACGCCCGTTCAAGTGAGCCGGTGGCCAACCGCTCTTGGTTTCGACTGCACGCAGAACCGGGTGCCCCGGCTGTCCCTACAGAAGCACGGTGGACGGCTGTGCCCCTTGCGATCCCCTATGTGTACACAGGCGCCTCTCCCCATCTCCCGCCCACCAAGCCCCCAGGGGTAACAGAAGGAATGGAGGGGAGCCAAGCAGAGAGAGTGGGGGACGCGGCCTTCGGCGGCCCCTGACCGGGCCCGTCCCGGGAAGCACTCGGTGAGGCCCAAGCCTCCGGACAGGCCACAGAGAGCCGCGCCTGACCACGGTCACTCCGAGTGACGGAGCGGGGGCTGGTCCCTTTCATCTTTCCATCGTGGGTATGTGTGGCCCCATAAAGAGAATACATTTATAAGATAAACAGCTTTCTTTGCAGATTTAAGAACCTAATTTTCACTTTACACAGAAATGGTTTTTCTTGGAGGGCCAGAAGGCCTACGGCGTTTTCTCTCAGACTAAATCCAACTAGAAAAACAAACTCTGAGCGGCGATGAAGGGGAGTTGTGGGTGGTCCCAGGAAGTGTCCAGAGGGGCCGCCAGCCAAGTACAGTGACGGCCGAGGACGCTCGGCCGGGATTTGTGCCGGGGACCCTGGGCTCGCACGGCGCAGCCCCACCCAGCACGGGGAGACTGGCTCAGACCGCCAGACACGGCGCCCGGCCCCTGGCCCACCCGAGCAGAGGCGCCGACAGCTGTCCTTCCGCGAGACGCCCAGGACAGGGCCCGAGGCTGGGCCCGCCGCCCCACGCCCCAGCCGGGGAGCCCAGAAAGGAGGAGACATGTTACATCTGTGTTCCTCCGTCAGGCCGTGTGCGGGTTGGTCCAAGCTTTTTAAGAATGTCCTCTCCCAGGACACGAGTGCTCCTTCCCTCCCATCAGACATGTGTGGTCTCTGAGAGTTCTGGGGACAGAAGGGGACCCGGGGACAGAGCTTTCATCTGCTCCTCCGTGCTCATCTGTACGGAAGGAAGGGCCCCCCAGATCCTGGGGGCCCCAGGGGGGCCACCTCCTGACTGACCTGCCTCAGCCAGGTGCGCGGGGCCTCGCCTGACGGGGAAATGCAGGGAAACGCCCCCCCTGGGACCCTGTTTCTTCTCTGGACCCCACTAGCCCCTGTGGGGTCCACTCCTCAGGTGCGGAGTCCCGTGTAGGTGCAGTGAATATGGTTCCAGGCGGAACTGGCTGACCGGGCTGCTGCCATTCCCAGGGGACAGCCTGGAACCGGGGACTCTACCCGGTGCCTGCAGCCCGGCAAGCGCACCTGTCCCACCCACTCGGTGTCTTTGCTGAAAAGAAGACAGGCCACCATTTAGAGCTGGGTCTCAAGACCGTGTTCCTTGGGGGTGACATCAGATGACTGACATGCCTCACGGTGTCACCTCAAGGTCAGAAACCTACTCCTCCGTCTGCTCTAACACCTGAGTGGACGGCAACACTGGCAAGCTCCCAGGCGACAGGACCTGCGTGACCTCCCGGGAGGGGTCGGCAGGAGGGTGGGGGGCCGCTGTGGGGGGCTGAGGCGCAGACACGGACTAACCGTCCGTGGGTCATGTGAGAACCGCCATCGTCACCTGTCCTGGGCGCGTACAAAGACAGACAAAGCCATGTCAAGCCCAGACGCATTGGGGACTACCAGCCACGTTTGCCGTCCCCAAGACTGACTTCGCTGCCTCGTGGGAACACGGCGTCTCGTGACATCCTCACCCAGACTCTGTTTGAAACGCAAAACCGTGGCTGATCAAATAATTTCGTGTTGTAAAGATAAACTGATAAATGTTTCCCAGGGTGTCTGTAAGCAGGGAGGTTCCTGGGTGCGTATTTCAAAACAGGCCTGTCGGCCCGGAGGTGCCGGATACCCTCCCCCTGCGGGCCCCCAGCCTGCCGTCCGAGGCCCCTCCCCTCACCCTGCCCCACATGCGCCTCTGCGTGGCCCAGGGGACCAAACTCCTGCCGCCTGGCCGCACCGTCCCCACCACGGCCTCTCTCAGCTCTTCACTCACAGGCTTTTGCTCCTCCTGAGTCACTAAGAAGATGAGAGAACAGGGCTGAGAAGGAACAGTGAGGGCTCCTGGAACTCCAGGTGTCCCTGATTGTCCCAACTTCCTTGGCACTGAGTTGAGACCACGTGACTGGCTCTGGCCCATGGCAGGAGGCCACATCAAGGAGAGACTGTGATGCCACCTGCCCACCTTCCTGGGCCCCAGCCACCTCGCTGATCAAGGGTCAAGGGGCAGAACCACACACTTCAGGCCTCCTGGGCCGCTCAGTCTCGGGTGGCTAGGAGCTGACCCCGCCCCGATCTGCAGGACTGAGGAAAAAGCTCCTTGTCTCTGCTAAGCCAAGGAGGTCCGGTGAACGCCCCTGTCAGGGGCACAGGGGCTGGCCGAGAGGGTCAGCTTCTCTGGGTGAAGTCGCCCTGCTCATTCACAGAGTGGCTCAGAGGATGAGGGCCAGGGGGACCACAGAGGCAGTGCGTTGAAAGAAGATTTCCATCGAAGAAAATTGTAATGAGGACGTTGGTGGTGTTGATGGCAATGATGGTGATGGTGCTGGTGATGGTGCTGGTGCTGGTGATGGTGGTGCTGGTGATGGTGGTGGTGATGGTGGTGGTGCTGGTGATGGTGGTGCTGGTGAAGTGATGGTGGTGATGGTGGTGGTGGTGGTGGTGGTGACGACGAATCCATGCAGTGAATGCAGAGTTCTCCCGGAAACCTTACCTGGGTAAAGCAGCTATCTGTACATCTCAACATCTACTCCTTTATAACAGAATTCCACAGCATTTTAATTATTATGGAATTTCTAGTATAACAGTGAATACGTTTTCCTGGATGAGTTGTGCAGTTAATTCTGAATGTTCCCTGTACAGAGAGCCCCACGAAGTCCGAATCTCAATTCATTAATGAAACAACCCTATTTCTGGACTCTAAAGGGAGAACAGGACACCAAAGAACTGCATCTTTCCTCATTTCTTTGCCCAAATGTACCAGTGTTTTAAGATCTCCTCGGGGGAGACAAAACAGCTAACACCTTGGAGAAAGTCCACAGGAATGTGTAGCTCCTCTGGAAAGCTTGAAAGCTTACCACTCGCCCTAATTTTGAAAACTCTAAAATTAACAGACTCAAACAATGTCTACTACGGTAGAGATTC